GGAAGGAGGGCCGGGAAGAGCGCCGGAAGGAGGGCCGGGAGGAGCGCTGGGAGGTGGGCCGGGAAGAGCGTCAGGAGGAGCGCCGGAAGGAGGGCCGGGAAGAGCGCCCGGAGGAGCGCTGGGAGGAGGGCCGGGAAGAGCGTCAGGAGGAGCGCCGGAAGGAGGGCCGGGAGGAGCGCCTGGAGGAGCGCTGGAAGGAGGGCCGGGAGGAGCGCTGGGAGGAGGGCCGGGAAGAGCGCTGGAAGGAGGGCCGGAAGGAGCGCTGGGAGGAGGGCCGGGAAGAGCGTCAGGAGGAGCGCCAGGGGAAGCGCCAGGAACAGCGTTGGGAGGAGCGCCGGAAGAAAGACCGGAGGGCCTGGCTGAAGAAGAACCTCAGGCAGGCCTTTGGGAAGTTCCAGGCCGAGCATGAAAGGGCTCAGCGGGCAAAACAGGAGCAGCTGCACAGGGAGAGGTGCCTCAAGTTCAGATCACGGCCCATTGTGCTGGGCTTCGCGGAAGGGGAAGCGGGGGCGAAGGGCCGGGCAGAGGAGTGGAGGGGAGAGGGCCCAGAGGCAGACAGGTGGCCGGGCGGGCAGAAGTCATCCCTGAGGAAGCAGGTGGCAGCGAGGGACCACGGGAAGCTGACGTGGTCCCTGGGCCAGCAGTGGGAGAAGGCCTGGCATGCCTTCCTGCAGATGGAGAAGCTGAGCCCGGCCCTGGGCACCCCGCAGCCAACGGGGTACCGCCTGCCCAAAGACTCTCTGTACAAGACGACCAAGCCCACCAGGCGCCTCCATCGGAAGATGCTCCGGCGGGGCGGCCGGCAACACATCTTCCGCCTGGACGAGACCAGTGCGGTGGACTGGGAGGCCTTCATGGGCCTCTACGTCTCCGTCGCCTCCATGAAGGAGGAGGGAGTGGCGCCTGCCAGGTGGCAGAAGCAGGCGGCCACGCTGCTCGACCTCTACGGCGTGAGCAACCCGCTGGTGCGGGCCATGATCCAGCAGCTGCTGATGGGCGACCATCGTCAGCGCAGGTACGTGCCCAGCAGCTGCTTGAGACTGAAGAGGCAACAGGCCGACCTGGGCCAGCGGATCCTCTACGAGATGATCGTCCACTCCGCCCAGCTTCGGCCCCCACAGCCGGTCTTCCACCACGTCATCCCGCTCAGCTACCAGAACAACGTGCAGCCCTTCAAGATGCAGGGCACCACCCACTTTGGCCCCCTCTCCCTCAAGTGGAAAACCTTCTTCCCCAGGGGGAAGCTGCCCAGGCTGAGCCTCTACGTGTATTCACACCCCTCCTCCTCCTCCTAGCTTCCTGCCCTCTGTCCATGCGGATCCCTCCCTCCCTCCCCACAGACACGGAAGGAGGCTCTCCTTGGCTCCTTTCCTTCTTTAAAGCCTCGGAGAGTGGAGAGAAATGGGGGGGGGGGTTGGTGGGGGGGAGAGCAATTTATGCAAACTGTAAAATAAATTAGTTATTCAGGCCATCTGTCTGGATCATTGTTTTAAGTTCACTTGGTTATTTATGCCATTGTCAGTCCCCTGCGTCAATCTGAGGCAAAAGGGGTGTGTGTGTGTGTGTTTTATATGATGACATACCGGTTGAATCGGGTCAGACATCCCCTTCCTGGGCTGGATGCTCACAGGGACGAGGATCCTGTGTCTCTGCACAGGAGACATCACGCAGAGACATCACGCAGAGTGCAAAGGGAGCTCTCTTCATTGTGGCCTTTGTGAGATGCGACGGCTGAAGCCAGACCACCAGAAAGGCTGGGTGAAAAAGGGCCGCTGGCTTTGAGTTGCACTCCTGGGGAAAACCGGAAGGACATTTTGGGCTGCGGGAAGAGCAAATCTTGCATCTCCAGAACACGCAGCAGCAGTCTGGCCGCAGAGGCCTGAAGGCGCTGCTGGAAAACCACCCAGGGGGGGAGGGGAGGGGCGGGGCCTTCCTCGTCTCTGGGACCTGCCTTCCGAGATAAGGGGTGCCTTGCACTCCCAGCTGCTTCCCGGGGGTCTCCGGGGGTTCTGCGTCTCAGCCACTGCTCAGCTTGCACGGTGGGAAGTCCTTCTGGTCAGCAACGCCGAAGGCCCCGAGCCTTCCAGGCCAAAGGTCAAGGGCCAGACCGGGGCACCTGCAGCTGAAACCTGCTGAACATTTGCAGACTGCATCTCTGGAGAGTCTCAGTCACCCAGGTGGTCCCCGATGGACCTTTTCCAAAAGGTAACTGGAGGGGGGGGCTTTGCTTTTTCCTTGAGGAAGAAGAAGAGGTTCCGCTTCTCATCTCAAGAAGCTTCGTCGGTTCTGAACTGCGGAAGCTTCTTGGGCGAGGAGGAGGAGGAGGAGGAGGGGGCCTCTTCTTCTTCTTCCTTCAGGAGAAAACAAAGCCCCCTTCGGCTCTTGCCAGACGGCTAATTGGCCACTTGAACCACCAACGTTGCGCTGCAACCTCCTTCGGATTGGGAAGGGGAAAAGCGGCGGTCAGAGGCCGGAAAGAGCAGCCCGCCCGCGGCCTCTGGAAAGCAAAGAAGCGCCAGCTGCCCGGCGAGCGGACCGGCGGCCAGGCAGGAGGAACGGGAGAGGCGCCTAGCATTCGGGACCTGGCGGGGGCCGCAGAGGCTGCGCTCTCCAGCCGGGAGGGAAGCCGGAGGGGAAACTACGAATCCCTGGCCGTCCTGGCACAGGGCAGCGACCCAGCAGCAGCGGGAAGAGGGGGGCGTCGGGGCTGCGGGAGGGGCGGGGAGGGAGCGCGGCCAAGCGCCTCCGCCTTCTCGCCCGGGCCCGAGGCTTGCGGGGCTGCCGACGGGAGGCGGGATCCGGAGGCTGGGCCGCCGCCACCGCGCGGGCTGCTGCGGAGGGAGCTCCGGCAAGCCGAGGCAGGCCCTGGACCGTGCCTGAGGACGCCTTCGCTGTGGGCTGGAGCGTTCCGCGGGGGCTCCGGGCCGCTCGACCGCCGCTGGCTCCGGCTCCCTCCACCGGCCGCGGAGGAGCGCCGCCCGCAGCCCCCGCCGGGGCTGGGCGGCCGATGAGCAGGTGAGCCCACCGCCAGGCAACCCCCCCCCCCCGCGCCCAGGCAGCTGCCCCTGGC